AGAATCCAGGGAACCATCTGGCAGGGACCACATGGCAGGCAGATGTTGAATGTTGACAGAGGAAGAAAGACAGGAACTGGAGCATGGTATTGGAGAGAGAATCCTTGAGGTCCAGGCACATCATTTCAGACATCTTATTCAGATAGAAATTAGGTTTTTTTATTGATAAATTTCACATTTTAAAACTGCAGGTATGATATACTGTGTTATTAAGATAATCAGATTGAGGAAGATGATATAAACATGGCATTTCAACACATAAAGGGAGATGAGAAATACACACAACATTTTTACTGGAAAGGCTGATGGGAGGAGATTACTTGGAAGATGTAGGCATAGATGTGAGGGTAATATTAAAATGGATCTCAGGAAATTGGTTTGGTGGGTGTAGATGAGATTAATTTGGCTCAGGTTAGGAACTGGTGGCTGGCTCTTGTGAATTTGGTATTAATTTTTTGTATCCATAAAAGTTGGGGAATTTTGTGAGTAGCTGAATGTAGTATTAGCTTTTCAAGAAGGACTGTGCTCCATGGAGTCAGGAATAAATCTGTGTGTGTACATGCAAATGCATACACACACAATTTTGGTATGACTGACCTACAGTCCACATCATTAAAGGTAATAGTTATGGATGTACCACATAACAGATAAAAGCTACTTTGTATGTGCAGGAGTGACTTCTGGTCATGCAGGTTGCCAACTCCCTTGGGAAAGACACGACAGACAGACAGACAGACATGGACAGGGCCATAAGGTGTTTTTCTCTAAGGCTACAGCTTGAAGAACACCTAAGAACCATGTGCTTGAATTATAACTTACCTGTACATGGAGACTTTCTCTTTCTGCATAATGAATTGAAGTTAAGGAATGGAGTAAAAACATGTTCTCAAAATGTCATGCCAGCTCATTTTAACAGCCCATTTGTTGTTACAATAGCTATGTACTTAGGTGTTTTAAGCATTGTAACCTTCAATTACCCTTGTTCCTCAGTTCAGTACATTGCGTTTGTATATCCTGACCATTCAGAATCTTGTGGTTAAAAAAAGTTAGATTTCTTAGTTGCCTCTACCATCTTTATGTGTTGTATGGGGCATTCTTTTCAGTTTCATCTCGTCCTACATCCCTCCGTCCTTTTTCCTCAGCTATATTTATCAAGATAGGCTGCATG